ACTTCAGTCTACCACTGACATTCTTACAAAGTACCATTTCACATGTGTCTGGAATGCTTGTTTTAAAATCTGTGTAGTAACAAACCTGTTCTTGGTGGGAAAGTCTTCAGATTGCTTAAAAACACGAAGAAAAAAAGACCTCTATACTAGAATTTTGAGGAAGGACAACTGATACCGTAGATCACTAGAGATAGATATACTACTAAACTATGAGCTAGTAATCTCTATATAGTAATATACATCACATAACAGTGAAAAACATGACGTGGTTCATTATTATATAGAGAGGAGTACTTTCCTTCTTACCATAGTGATGATTTCCTCTTTGCCTCAATTATTTGGGAGTAGACATACCTGGAGCCACATTAATTAGCTGAGCAATGTTGTGGAAACACGGCTCATTTATCAGATGCAGCAAGTTAAATTGAAGATTTGTGATATTAGGTAAAGGTTTATTGTCAGAGATAGCAAGAAGGGTTGGAAACAAGTGTGGGGTTGAGAGAACTGTGAAGGGTCCGCCAAAAAAGGAATGAACAGAGGAAAATCAAGTGACAGGGATTACACACACAACATGTATGTAATAAGTATTCACCAAAAAAAATATGAATGGTGGATGGATAGAATAATGACTGGATGGATGGAATGATAAATGGATGGGTGCATGGAATGGAAAAATCTTGACTATTTCCAACTTTATAATTTTGCCAAGGATTGAATCAGGTATTACATTTGATTGCTATACTGCATTCTGTTACAATCTATTGTTGTACTTTTCCATCCATGAGTGAGGGAAATAAAAACACAATGTCCTCTAATCGCTATCTGTGAAAAGCTAAGGGCATAATTTGCTTCTTTCATACTCTGTTTCATATTAATGCGAAGTTTTAAAACATCATGAAAAGTACCAACCTTGAAAGTTGCATTCTGTTTTGCTCATCTCACCTAAAGAAAAATTTAAAAGACAGAAAAAAATAAAAAAGAAAATTTAAGTGAAAGCCAATTAGGGCAACACAATTAAAAGAGCATGTTATAAAAAACAAAACAAAACAAAACAAAACAAAACTTGACCCATTTTTCCTTGACAAAGGGGACACATTTAACTGTGGAGAGAAACATACCCTGATAAAACTTCTCCTAAAGTGTTTTTTAAATATTTTGTTATTTTGTATCTTGTGATAGCATGCATGTTAAAATTTCCTGGGGGCACACAATTACGAATGGCAATGAGTAAGAGGTTCAGAGGTAATGTTTAATAAAAATGATAAAACTAAATTATATCTAAGGAAAA